GTGATAAATTCCTAACAATAAACCTCACTTCCTTCAGGCTAGGCGCATGTGCAATCTCTTTCTAAGATGGAGTCTGCATGTTTCAATATGGATGCTGCGACTCCTTCTGCGCAGGTATATTCTGCTGTTGCCTCTTGGTTTGAGTCTTGGTCCTGTCTTAGATTGCCTATCTTAGTTCATCAGGCAGTAAAGGAGGGCAGAGGTGCACAGACTCCAAAACTGGTTAACACTGACCGTGGGTAGTGGGCTAGGAAACACCTCAAAAATGGCCTGTCATCAGGAAATGCCATCTAAGCAGTAAATTTACACTTGACGTTATTTCTCTTGCAGTGCTTCTCCCTTGGTCTCAGGATCTGAGGAATGTGATTGCCCTGTCCTGTGAGCTGTTCCTGTCTTGGTTTTATGATCTTAGGAATGTAGCTGCAGGAGTGGGATTATTATGTGATTGTGGCTGCAAGTAGTAGACCAAGGAAATGTTTAAATTGAACAAGATTAATATGGAGCTTTAGTTTTTGAAGTTTTAACACATATTTATCTCCCAGAAATTCTAAACTGTTACAGGGAGCTATACTATACTATTACAGGGAGCTCTGGTAGTGTAGTGCTTAAAGCATTTGACTGCTAACCAGAAGGCTGGTGGTTCGAACCCACCAGCCACTCCTCGGAAGGAAGGTTGGGCAATCTATTTCCATAGTGATACCGCACTGGAAACCCAAGGAGGGGTTGCTATGAGTTGGGGCCAACTTCACGGCATATAACAACAACATACTATTACAGGTTCAGTAGTTTAGATATTCGGCCGCTAACCAGCATGTTGGTAGTTCAAACCTACTGGCTGCTCCATGGGAGAAACATGAAACAATCAGCTTCTGTAAATATTTATAGCCTTGGAAACCCTGTGGGGCTGTTCTGCTCTGTCCTATGGACTCTCTATAAGTTGGAATCAACTCAGTGACAATGGGTTTGGATTGGTTTGATGTAGTTCTGCAGGTAATGGACAAAATGTACTCTGTACCTAAAGGTATAAAGACATATTTAGACATAAAGAGAGATTTTTCATAATTATAAAATAGTAATTTATAACAGGGATATATACTAATTTTTAATTTGTATGTATCCACTAACATAGCTTCAAAATAAGTGAGGCAAAATTTGACAACTGAAAAAATAGATAATCCACAGTCATAGTGGGAGTCTAACCCATTTGTCTAGTAACAAATAGAACAAGAAGAGAAAACAGTTAGTAAACACATCTGAACATGTTTAACAAACTTAGCTAAATTGGCATACAAAACATGCACTCAACAAGAATAAACATTTATTTTTTCAAGTGTACATAGGACATTTACCAAAATAGAGTGTATACTGAATTGTAAAGGAACTCTCAACATATTTCAAGGGCTGAAATCATTGAGAGTGTGTTCTCTGCATACAAAGTGATTAAACTAGATTTCATTTACTAAAGGATTACTACAAAATCTCCCAAGTATTTGGAAATTCAAAAAGACTCATGGGTCAAAAAGAAATCACAAAGGAAATTTAAAATAGGATATTATCTACATAATATTTGAGTAGGACACAAAACAGATAAAGAAGAATAAAGGAAAAGACATGGTGAAATGATGACTTTTCTTCAGAAGACAGCATTTACAGTGAAAGGCAAACCACCAAGTAAAGAAGATATTTGCAGTATATATATGACAATATGTGAAGAACTCATATAGATTATTAAGAAAAAGACAACTAAATAGAGACTTAAGGCACTTCACAAAACATGATAACCAATGTCCATTAAACCTATGGAAAAGTGCTCCACATGAAAATTTAAATTAAAACCACATTGAAATATCACTAAATATCGACCATGTGGACATGAATATTAAAAAACTGAGGTACTGATATATCTTAATTGGGTGGCTTCAGACCTAAATTAAAATTCTGTTTTGAATTTAACTCAGAGTTTCATTTCTCCTTTTCTCAAGAAACCAGCCTTTTTGTCACAGTTACTCTGAAAAACAAAGGCAGAAGTCAGGATTTCTAACCTAGGTTGAGAGTTACTTAGTGTCTGTTGAGAATGTTTTCAGCTGGCCATGAGGAAGGAGGCTTGGTCAGCAGGAGGATGAGAAGTAGAACTGATAATGTTAAATGAAGTTCCAAACCAAAACTCCGAACTCACTGCCATGGAGTCGGATCCAACTCATAGCGACCCCTCCTTGGGTTTCTGAGGCAGTTGTTGTTGCTGTTGTTGTTATATGCCATCGAGTCAGCCCCGACTCATAGCGACCCCTCTTTGGGTTTCCGAGGCAGTATCACTACGGAAGTAGGATTGCCCACCCTTCCTTCCAA